AAAAAAAAAAAAAAAAAAAAAAAAAAAAATTTATTTTAAAAAAGATCAAGAAAATTCAGATGTAACCCTATAATCTCAGCATTCCAGGAGGCTGAGGCAGAAGGACTACAAATCTGAGTCTAGGCTAAGCAACTTAGTGACTTAGCAAGACCTTATCCCAAGATAAAAATTTTAAAAGGGATGAGGATATAGATCAGTCAGCAGCCCGAGGGACCAATCCCCAGTACTAGAAAAAACAAAAACAAAAAAAGCTAAAGATACAAGAGGCTTTTCCTAGAGTTATCCGCAATGAGGAGCTCCTTGTACTGTGCTGTGATCACACCCTGGGCCAGGGCCTTGCCTATGCTGGGCAAGTGCTCTACCACTGAGTTACATCCACAATCCAATGCAGTTTTGTCTGTTGTTGTTGTTTGGTTTTTTGAGACAGGGTCTCACTATGTAGTTGAGACTGACCTGGAACTCACTATGTAGCTCAGGCTGGTCTCAAATTTACAGGAATCCTCCTGCCTCAGCCTCCCAAGTGCTGGGATTACAGGCATGTGCCACCATGCCTGGCTCCAAGGCAGTTTTTAAAATGCAGAAAAAGTGTTTTTTTAAATGTCAGACACCAAAGGCAAAGACTTATAGCTGACCAAGGAAAACCATAGTTAGCATAGTCTAAATCAAATCCCATCAAAAGTTTTCTCAAAATTCTCAGAGAGCTATGTGCCTTTAGTAATCTTTCGGTATCAGCTAAAATATTTAACAATGCAGGCCTTCTAACCAATAAAGTAACACCACAGTGGAATGTCTGGTGCATGGGATATACTCAGATCACACGATACTAAGAACCCAGACACAGAATGAGGAGAGCCATTTCTAAGACCAGCATGGAAATAGGCTGCCAGCCCCACTCCACAGCTGTACCACGAACACTTCTTTCTGGAGATCCCAGAGCTAGAAATACTCAGTAGAAGGTGACCTTCTCTGTCATTGCCATAAAATTTAAAAACAAAACTATAGGGCTTACACCTTACCTTTAAAAGTCACTGTACTAATTACACTTCAAATTATAAATGCTGATTTAACTTAGGAAGAGTTCTTCTCTTTGAAATCTGAACTAATATTATTTAAACAATCACAAAAGAAGCAACAAAATATTTTGTACATCTTGAGTGTAGATGGGCTTTTTTTTTTTCGAGACATGAGGCAGATTCTCACTCTGTAGCACAGGCTGACCTTCAACTCACTATACAGACCAGGTGGGCCTCGAAATTTGTTTTTTTGTGGTACAGGGGATCAAATTCAGGACCTTGCGCTTACGAGGCAGGCACAGTGCCACTGAGGTAAATCCCCGACCCAGGCTGGCCTCCGACTTGTGGCAGTCCTCCTGCCTCAGGCTCCCAAGTGCTTGGGACTACAGTGTGTGCCACCACACCCAACTATGGTTAGGTTTTGACATCTGAAAATGAAAATGCTTATACACAAGAAAGCAATGTTTACCTTTAATGTTTTAATAATGAAGCTTTTTTTTTTTTTTAAGAGCAAATACAGGAAGATAATAAAGTATACTAAAGAAGACACACAGCTTTTTACTAGGGACTGAGCAGGATTTAATACTGTATCTCTAAGAAACCTTAAGTATATAATCAACTATAGCAGAAAGGTCACCAAGTCCACTGAAAATCAAAACACATAATCAGAGCTAACAACTGGACAGTGTAAGATGTTACTCACACATCCACGCCAGTCGAATGCAAAGGGCTGTGCCAGTTGACTGGGAGAAACTCTACTCTTCCGATCTGCTCATTTTCTTGAGCTTTCTTAAAATGTGTCTGTAGCAAGTTCAAGGAAACACTGCGAAAATCATTAACTGGAAAAGAAAATTTATGCATCAACAATGAAGCAATTAACACACAAAATTAGCATATAATAAATTGGGTAATAACACACTGCCTAGCCTCACTTGCTCAGAACACACAATGACTTGACACAAGTATTCAGGAAGAACTAAGAATACATATGGGAAAAGACATTTCTTTCAGATAAAACCTCCTTTTCTATACAAAACATTTCATCAAAAGAAAAAGCCAACTGGGCCAGGGATTTAGCTCAGCAGTTCTGCCACTTGTAGGACCCAAGTTTGATCCCCAGTACCAAAAAAAAAAGAAAAACTTTTGTGTCTGTCAATCGAGCTGTTTCCATTTTTAAAAATTAAATGACTATATGTCAATCCTGCAATCAGATTCCTATTCTAATTTCCTGGTTTATAAATGTATCATTGTCTAATACTTCAGATTTTTAAAAAATACACACTGCTGTTCAAAATCCTCATCTCTGGTGGCACATGCCTGTAATCCCAGCACTCAGTAGGCTGAGGCAGGAGGATCACTGTGAGTTGAGACCAGCCTGGGCTACATAGTGAATATCAGATCAGTCTCAACTAAAGAGTGAGACCCTATCTCAGAAAACAAACATACAAACAAAAAAATTCTTATCTCACTATCTTAACCTCCCAGAATATCGTTTCAGGGCTGGGGATTTAGCTCAGCAGCCTCGTTCAACCCACCGCAACAACAACAACAACAAAAAACAAAAAGCAAAACAACAACCAGAATATAGTTTCAGTTTATGCTTAGAACCATTCATGTTATGCTTCTGTCTAGATGTCCCCCTAAAGCCTCATAAGGTCATAGGTGGGGCTTTTTTCAAAGATAGGTGGATCTAGAGTGTGCTCCTGGGATGAAGGGTGTGAGATTACTGAATCAGCCCTAAACCTGGTAGCCTAGATAGAATATAAAAGGGGCAGGCCAAGGACTTACAAGGGCAAGGTGGTTTTAAAAAAAAAAAAAAAAAAAAAAAAAAAAAGAATTCAATATAAAAGGGGCAGAAAGAAGCTGCTACTACTGTCACCTGTTTTGCCATTGCTGTCTTCTGCCTGCCATGAACTATTTCTCCTCTGTGAGGTTCCTCTGGCAGGCCACCCTGCCTTGGAGCCACCTGAACTGAAACTTCTACAAACTGTGAGCTAAATAAATCTGTCCTCCTTCAACTCTGGGTGTCAGGTATTTTATTTCATCAACAAAAAAAGTAAAACGCCCAGTAAAATAAGACTCCTAATCACATTAAGTTTTAAAGACATTGCCTTTTAAAGTCAAGTTTTACTAATGACTTAAATCATCCAATTATAATATCAAGAGGCTTCTGGAGATTGTAATCCCATCCACTCCAGAGGCTAAGGCAAGATGGTGTATTTGAGGCCAGCCTGGGGAAAACAGGGAGATCCATCTCAAAATAAAAAGCGCCTGGGATATATATATAACTTAGTGCTAGAGTTCTTGTCTGGCATGCACAAGAACCTGAGTCAAACTCAAAAGGCTCAATAATAATATCAAGAGGCTTGGGCCGGGGATTTAGCTCAGGATTTAGCTCAGCGGTTCGGTGGCCTGCCTCCCAAGAACAAGGACCCGAGTTCGATCTCCGGTACCAAAAAAAAAAAATAATAATATCAAGAGGCTTAAGGCCGGGGATGTAGCTCAGTGGCACCACGCCTACCTCGCAAGCTCAAGGTCCTGAGTTTGATCCCCTGTACCCCCCCAAAAGAAGAGGCTTACCACAGTATCAGGTTAAGAAAAGCTTGTACTTTCTATTATTCACTCTATCATCTTCAGAGTCCCTTTTACATTTATAAAGGTTAGAAATAAGACCACTATATCACAAAACAATTTTATAGGGATTATGGGGCTCAACTATATTAGCCTCAAGAATTTACTAGCACTTAAGGTTAAGCTGGGAAGCTTCACTGCTCGTCATGTCTTCAGCTCTCCGAATCTGATTATGCAGCTAAGACGATGAGCTAAAGATGATGCTTTGTCTTGGCTCTCAGCGCAGTGACGGCCACACTCCTGAACACCCTAACCTACACACACTACAAACCTACCACACTGCACAATGCTTCGGAAGCGGAGGTCACAGGCTGGTCCGATCCCATGGACTACAAAGACCAAGTGATCTATCTGGAAAGGTTCTCCTATAAATAAAGTGAGAGAGAATTATTCCATGTAATTAATCTAAACTCAATCACTAACAGTGAACAGGTTATAAATGTGAGCAGTGGGGACAGAACTCAGGACCTTGCACTTGTGAGGCAGGCAGCGGCACCACTGAGCTAAATCCCCGGCCTTACAAATGGATTATTTAAAAGACACAAAATGGTCCTATATTTAACTGTTCAGTAAAAGTACATTTTGCCTCATTTGCAATTTATCTGGAAATAAGCCTATACAAAATTTTCACTTATTCTGAAATAACTGCAAACTTACAGAAAACTAGAAAAGATAGTACAGAAACTCCCAAGTACATTTTAGAAATTCAGTTTTTTGTTATTGCTGGTTTTTTTGTTTTGTTTTTAGTACCGGGGATTGAACTAGGGTCCTTGCGCTTGCAAGGCAGGCCACCGAACCACTGAGCTAAATCCCCCACCCCAGAAACTCAGTTTTTTAACAACTGCCACATTTCATTATTCTTTACATGTGTGGATACACACACACACACACACACACACACACACACACACACACACACACACACAAATACGTTTATTTTTAGGGGCCATTTGGGAGCAGGTTGCATGTATGATGTGTTTCATACACCTTAAACTTCAAACTGCTAATGTGTGTTTCCTAAGGATAGACTCTTATAAAATCACAGTACAGTTAGCAAGTCTAGGCTATACTGATATAATATTGTTACCTATGATTCCATTTTTAATCAACTGTCTCTAAAATGTTTTGAATGTTTTTAAAGCTTAAAATTTTAAACTCATTTTTTAAAATTTCAGTAAATCTAAGTTTATCCAAGAGACAAATCATCTCCTCTGTAAAAGGAATTCTATAATCCAGTTAAAAATATTTAAAGCCAATTATAAGTGATCCCAAGTTAGATGGCAATGAATAATAAAATTCTTTCTGAAAAATAGTCTTTCTGAGTTGAAAATCTTCAAGGATGGTTATTACCAGTAATAAATATCTAGTCAGGCAGGTAGATTCAACTTCTTAGAATTCGGACTAAATCAGTTCGTCTCTTCTTAGCAACTACCATATTAGTATTACCAAGTTTCACCCATCCCACCATAGGCCCACTATATGTTCTCGGCAGCTTTAAATAAATATTTTTATCTATTAAAATTTTTGGTAGATGAAGTGATGCTAATCTGAATATGCCCAATTAAAGATCATTCCTAAGCCTTAAGGTACTACGAATACATAAAAAAGGGTCACAATTTAAGGAATAAACAAGTTAATACAAAAGATAAGAAAAAATGAACAACCAACATTACCGAAATGGATGTCGACAGAGATGTTCTCAACCCCCCTCTTCACTGTTCTTGGCCGACCTTGCTCAGTGGGTGTTGAACCCCATTCATCAGACCCTGCAATTGGCTGGTAATGCACCATGAGCTTAAATGGAAAAAGATCAGAGGACTATATTCTATTTTACAGTCATCTTTTTATTATGTATATGTATTAAATTTTTTTGAGACAGGATTTGCTTTGTAGCTCAGGATGCCTTGAATTTGCAGTGATCTTCCTACCTCAGCCTCTTGAGTACTAGGATTACAGATGTACACCCCCATTACCAGCTTCTATATAATAATACATTTTGAAGGACAGAAAGATATCTTTCAGTACATAGTTTTAATATGCAATTCTTTTTTTTTTGGCACTGGTGATCAAACTCAGGCTCTTGCGCTTCCAAGGCAGGAGGAGGAACCACTGAGCCAAATCCCCAGCCCCTGATATGCAATTCTTAAAGTTTTGAAATGAAGACCCTGAAAATACACTGGACTAACAAATCTTTCAAAAATATCCTACACATGAAAGTTGTGCTCCTATAATGCATTGGTTCTTTTCTTTTTTTTTTTTAAAGACCGGGTCTCACTATGTAGTTGAGACTGACCCGAACTCACTATGTAGCCCAGGCTGGTCTCAAACTCACAGTGATCCTCCTGCCTCAGCCACCCGGGTGCTGGGATTACAGGTGTGTGCCACCACGCCCAGCTATTGGGTGATTTTCTTAATCCTATAATGGCAGAATTTTTCCTAAGAAAACTCTTTTGAATGAGCTGTATGGAGTAAATACTGGCAGCAGTGTAAATTTTAAATTTTACAGTGGTGAAGTGTACCTCAAATCGCCCAAGTTTATCTTATATAAAGTCCATAGGGAAAGGAGGCCAAAGTTCTCCTTAGTAATTCAATAACCTTAACTCCAGTATCAGAGAAATCTTTTACTTCACTTTACCTTTGGATTGTGTAATATAATAATTTCTCTATTGGGAGACTCCAGTTTCTTTTTCCATTCATCCAGAGTTACAGCAAGCATGTAAGTTTCCTTAAAAGAAAATACATTTCATTAGACTTTTATAATAGCTTTTCCATTAAACTGAACTTACAACAAGAATATCACTAGATTAATGAGTTTCAGTAACAATATGATTCTCCTTTATCTTCAAATTCTTTTAAAATTACTCAGGTAACAGCACAGAACAAAGAAAAATACCACTCCTAATTCTATCACCTAGACTAGAGAACTGCTGTTCATCTTTTCATATATCAGTAATAGTAATCTCCACTTTAAAGAAAATAAATATCAAAAGGGTCAGTCCTAAGGTTTACGTGCTAATACAGTGGTTTATAAACAGAAGCATTTGGCAGAATTTTGTTTTTGTTTATAAACTCTGCATCAGGTGACAAGTACAACCGTGGCCATCTTTCCTGCACAAAGATAAACATGGCCATCTTTTCCAAAATCATGGAACAAATTAAGTTCGTGAACCAAGGTACCACAGTAATGGTTTCCACCAGGAAAATTTTTAATTAAAACATAAGACAGTTTCTATAATACTGTAATTTTTTGGTTTGGTTTTTTTGAGACAGGGCCTCAAGCTCACAGTGACCCTCATGCCTCAGCCACCTGAGTGCTGGAATTACAGGCATATGCCACTACGCCCAGCTTCCATAATGTTTTTAAATCTGAAAATGAAAATACTTTATACTGCAACCAACTTGCAAAAAGAAATGCTATAAAATATGAGGTAGACGGAATCAAACCTTTTCTGCAAATTTCACAAAATAAGTCACAAAGGAAGAAAAGATTATTAAATGAGAGAAGAAAAAAGATGAAAATGATGAGCAAAAGGGGATCAAAGCAATACCTCTAAAACCTGGCTGAAGCTCTCTGAGTAGGGAACATACTTATTGTCTTTGTCTCCCTTGTAGAACCAGGTACAGCGCCTCACTTCAGATGCTGGCTCATCCCAGTACACAGCATGCCGCACCCTTTCCCCGAGGTGAACATCATACCTGCCCCCATCCGTGGCGACCACTGCCCCACTGCAATCCTTTCCTGTCAAGAATTAGGAGGAAAAGAAGTCGAGATCATACAATAAATCTCCCTAAATACAATTCTGAATAACATTTTATAAATTGCTTTAGCCAGGGATTTAGCTCAGTGGTGCCACTGCCTGGCTCACAAGCACAAGGACCCAAATTCAATCCCCAGTAGCAAAAAAAAAAAAAATGCTTTTAACAAGAAAAATCTAAAATTTCTCTAATAGCACTATGGGGCTATTACAAAACCGGGTGTGGTTATGCATGCCTGTAATTCCAGCATTCTAGGAGGCTGAAACAGGAGGATCACAAGTTCAAATCCAGCCTAGGCAATTTAAAATGCCCTATCTAAAGGGGGGGCAGTGCTGCTAGGAATGTAGCTCAGCACTAAAGCTCTGAGTTCACTCCCAAAGAACAGATGGGTGGGTGTGCACTGTAGCCTGAGAGAGCTGAACGTTTTTTTTTGTTTTGAGCCGCGTCTTCATCTTCATCCTACCAGAGCCATAGGCCTCTTCCAGCTGCTGTGAATCGTCAGAGTTGAATGGAATCCATGTCTCCTTAGAATCTATTATCTTACAATAAAACCAATGCGGAGAAACGGGTTCATACAAACTGCCAGCATCCATGTCTATTAGCTCGAAGGAACTACATGAGCTTGGTGAGGGGAATGGATCGGACTGAGGCAGCTGCTCCTGGTGTGCTTCCACTGATGACATTTCTCTCTCTAAAAGACAAGACACAACTATCAGGAAAACGATTTCCTGCTATCAGCAGTGTACCTGTTCACATGTGCATGCGCACAACAAAAACCCAAGGGGAGCCGGGCTTTGGGGCGTACTTGGGAGTCTGAGCAGCTGGCCTGCCCTGGGAGCAGCCTGGGCTGCCCTGGGAGCAGCCTGGGCTGCAGAGCCTGAGCTACAAAGGAGACGCTGCCTAGAAAAAGAAAAAAAAAATCCAAGGGGCAACATAATTTAAAATAAAAACAAAACACTTCTTAGTTCAACCACTCTGCACTAAGCTTACAATTCTCTTGGAAAACTGCGTGGTTTACTCAGACAAGTTTTAAACTCAAAATTACAAGAAACACGTCCTCAAAACCGATCACAAACGGATACGCTGGTGAATACCGGTAAGCTCGGCATTCTGGAAGGCTGAGGCAGGAGTACTGCAAACTAGAAACAGGCCCGGGCAATTTAACGTCAGGGAGACCCTGTCTCAAAATTTTAAAATTAATGTTTTTTAACAGTACTGTGGACAAAGCAGTGCAAAGGTACCGGGTTCAGGCCCTAGTACCTCAAAACAACAACAGAAAACAACAAAATAAGAACAAAACACAGTATTTCATTCCCGTTTCAATTTTGAGCCTAGTGCCAAAGGAAGAAAATTGACGCCAACCATGTCGGTCTGCCGTCCTAACGACCGCAGGTTTTAGGGTCTAAGTAGTCCGTTCTCGTCATTCAATCACGCACAGCTGACTGAACCTCGCGCCCGGCCCAGCCGAGGC